CAAAAACGGGTAGTTTTATGTTTGATGTTCCCCAAAGTTCAGTTTGAGGCTCAGTTCTAGTTACAATGTATACTCAGCTACTTGCTGTTGAAATACAAAAGTGCCATCTCAGCTACCACTTTTATGCTGATGACACTCAGATATATGGCTCTTTTAATCCACACAACACCGATGAATTCAGATCAGAAGAAGAGTAGACAAATGCATTTTCACAGTGAAAAAAAAATGGATGTGTGGAAACGAACTCATGTTGAATGATGAAAAAAACCCAGAGACCTTCCTATTCGGAGTTTTAAAAAATCGTAATGATGTTAATAGAAGACAGAATTGAAAAGGCTCTTATAGCCTTTTCTAACAAGGCCAAGAGCCTTGGAATCTATGGAATCTATTTAGATTCAGACATGTCCATGAACAACCAAGTAAATCATGTTATTCGATGTATGTATCTTGATTTCAGAAGAATAAGTAACAAAGGGCACCTTATTTCAACTGCTTTTGCATGCATGCTCTCTGTCTCTCTTGTCTTATCAAAACTTAATTATTGCCATTCTGTTCTGTCTTTTGCTTCATGTGACAGATTGAATAAATAGCAATTGGCCCGAAATAACACCGAAAGTACTGAAGAAAAAGAAGAAAGATCCTCTTTCAAAAATTTTTTAAGCTCTGCACTGGCTTCCAGCTGACAAAAGAATCCAATATAAAGTTTCTACCTTCTGTAATAAATGTCTTAACAATAAAACCCCATCATATCTATCTGAGTTTTTTAAACACCGTATTTTCCATCTTGTCAGTTACGTCATCGACAGACGCAACAAAATTCAGAGCCCCTAGAGCGAAGTTAAGATCTCTTGGTGAGAAAAGTTTTTCTTGTTTTGGCTCTAAGATAAGGAACTCCTTACCCCAGGATCTCAGAAAAATAACTAATTCTAAAACATTTAAGCGATTGCTCAAGACTTATTTGTTTAATTCTTAGTAGTAATGTGTTAGTAATTACTGATATGTGTTGTTTTTAAGGCTGTCTTTACGTATATATAATTAGAGTATGGTTGTGTTGCGTCTTCTTTTTGTGGTTGTATGTATGTATAGTATAAGGTTTTACGGCGCTCACAACTGCTAAGGTCATATGAGCGCGCTTTTTGTGGTTGTATGTATGTATAGTATAAAGTTTTACGGCGCTCGCAACTGCTAAGGTCATATGAGCGCGCTTTTTTGTGGTTGAACAGGGTTTTTCTGGTCACTGTGAAATAGTTCATCCTGTGATAGAGCACTATATAAATGCAAAAATGTGATCTGTTATTATTACTTTTATTATTAAACGTGATTTTTTAAAGTTTATTTGTTTTGCGGTTGTTGTTTTTTTAGATAGTTTTTGTAGTTGTTTAGCAGGGGGTTTGTGGTTTTTGTTGAAAAAGGGTTGGAAATGGTTGTGGTATTTTCGGCAAAGAAATAAGAGACAGGAAGAACCAGAGAAAGAGAAAGAGAGAAAGAGAAAGACAGACAGACAGACAGACAGACAGACAGACAGACAGACAGACAGACAGACAAACAGACGGACAGACAGACAGACGGACAGACAGACAGACAGACAGACAGACAGACAGACAGACAGACAGACAGACAGACAGAGAGAGACAGAGGGGCAGAGAGACAGACACAGAGACAGAGAAACAGCGAAAGAAGGGGGGAGGGAACAAAAGAAAAAGTAGACTGACACAACAATTAGAAAGGCAGACACAGAGAGGGACATTGAAAGAAAACCAGAGAAAACGAAAATAAAAAACCATGAATATTTTAAATACCGTGACAATTACATCCCCTAAAACATGTCTCTGTGCAAATTTTCTTTTAAAATGTTGATTTTTAGGCACAAAAAAATAATGTAAATTTGTAGTTTCCTGAGACACTCAAGATTTGGAGTACACCAAACTTTACGGGCCATTTTTCTCTCTAATTTTACAGTAGGCGACACCCACTTCCTTCAATCGCATATACACGCATGCATGGATATAAAGATTCACACACACACACACACACACACACACACACACACACACACACACACACACTCATATATATATATAGTTAACAATTTGTTCGTGCCTTTAATCAACGTATTCAGTGAAAATCAACATGTGTATGTGTTTTAAATCGACATAACAGATGTTTGGTCGAAAGTAAAACAAGAACGTGATACAAATTTCCTAAATGGCGGAAAATGCCGGTTTCTTAGATTTCATTATTAAAACGGGCGCTTGATTTTACCACTTTACCACACTTTTAGAGTGCAGAAGGGCAGTAATGCATCGGCGCACGGTCATGGTAGAGTTAAAAAATACTCACAAAACAAGGGCTGGCGTTCCTATCCAGAGCACAAATCTCTCTCCGGTTGACGTTAAATTGTGAGGTGAGCAGGTACCAGTCTATGATACATCTGGGCTGTGAGATAATGGAGAGAGTCTCCCGTTGTAGCTGGAGGTTCGCACCAGTTTCTGAAAAGGAAAAAAGAAAAGACACATTGCAAAGTTGTATTGGGTTTCCAGTTTCTGCGGTGTAATGGCTGTTAGGTGCTTCGCTGTTGCACGAAAAGAAACCCATGTTCCAATACCTGGTGGAGGAAAAAAACAATTTCATCGAGCATGTCGGTCTTTCAACTGCGATGTACCACTTTCACACCCATAACACACTCGTCATGTCCCCCAACGTTGTGTCCTTGGGGAAAAGCACTTCACACGAACGTTCCTCACATCACCCAGGTGGAAATGAGTACCAGGCAATAAGCAGCTAAAGTTCTTGTCACTTTGTTAGTGTTTGAGCGCACAATCACCTGCTTACTCTATATGCTTTCCGGGAGTCCAAGAATGTCTCTTAGTATTCTAGGGTCTGCTGGGGAAATAATACAACGTAAAGTTGTTCCCGCATCCGATCGGGACATTGGGGATTGCCTTGTTAGTGAGATAACTTCCTGGGCCTTCGGCATATCGTCGTAGGGTGGCCAGTTCCTTTCCACGCATCCTTTACTTCCCCAACTCGTAATAATACCGATTGTAAATCACATGGAACTTTGTGTCAAGCGGGGATGATGATGATGATGATGATGATGATGATGATGATGATGATGATGATGATGA